ACCTTCTGCCCTAGACAACTACTGATCTGCATTTTGTCACTGTATAATAGATTTGTCTTTTTTAGAATGATGAACAAAGTTTAAACTTGTGTTTTCTCAGTCTTGCATAGTGTTGATATATTTTGATTGTTTCAATCAGGTTACTTAGTTGCAAGCAAGAGAAAACAACTCTGGCTGATTTAAGCAGCAAAGGAATCTATTGAAAGGATAGGGGGTAGAATCACAGGGAGACTGGAGAATCAAGTTTCGGATTATGTGGCCAGCTCAGTGCCACAAATTATATAGCACAACTGTTGAGGAAAGCACCACAAGCAGCAGCTTGAGTTTCCTAGAATGTCTGTACCAGATAATAGTCACCACCACTATCCTTGCTGCCACTGTCATCTGTGCAATTCTGTCTATTTCTTAGAAACTAGAAAGTATATCAAGTATACCTGCTTTAGGAAATCTTCTGCAACTGCTGGTGACTACTGGGGTGGTCATCTGAGTGGAATGTTCTAGGTCATGTGTCCATCATACCTTAGCTGCAAGGGAGGCTAGGAGAACTGGGCATTTTCAGCCTTTATAGTGGGAAGCATCTGATCAAGTCGCATAAGGTAGGGGAATTCCCCGAACATAAGAAGAGGTTAAAATGCTGGATGGCTGAAAAGAGGGCCATGTCCACAACACTGACTGTGTGTCATTTCTTAGATTGCATTTTAAACTACAGTTTCATGTCTAATGATCACAGGCCACATTTGATAAGCATCTCCTGTGTACAAAGAAGTCTACCAGCTGCTGAAAGTGGCGACAAGGCCATCAAGAAACTTACTATTTAATAAAATAGAAACAGGTGTATTATCCTTCATAGTTCCTCAAGTATTTTCTTCTTAAAGTAATTTCCCTAAACTATAACCTGGTAATAAGATCAATGGGTCTGAATTAATTAATTTGATCCAAAAAAGAATGTAGCTTATTAAAAAACTACCATAATTTTAAGTAATAAATTTCACACTATTCACAAAATGATATTTACCTTTAAGTTTTAAGCTAAGTATTTACTCAACTTAATATTTTTATTCTTCTGAAATTACATAAACCTCAAATTGTGTTCATTTCAATTTTTTTAAGTTAACAATAAAGTAAGTCTAGTTTCTTCACCAGTTCTACCTGCTGTCCCTTACTCATCATTTCAATTGACAGGTGCAGGGAAGAGGAGGTGGCCTGATCCAGGACAATGATGATGCAATGTTGAAGAAGAAGCTGGAGGAGAGAAGCAACAGGCACCATGGAAAAAACCAAAACAAAGCAAGGTCAGATTTTTCCTAAGTCTTGCTTTAGGGCTTGGGATCAACAAACATAGGTTTGAATCTTGTCTTGACCACTGTCTCAAAACATGACACTTTGTTAACTCAACTATTCTCATTTCCCTATCATCTTATAATGACCAATTATAATTCAGACTTGGTACTAAGAAATAGGAAATGCTATGTACTTGTATATAATTTGGTCTAAGTCATTATCTTATTTTTCTTAGCAATAACTTTAGGACTGTTTCAGAACAACGTGCACAGATTCAACTAACAGACATCCAACACCATCTAGGCCAACCTAGAAGCATAAGTGCTTTTTCTTCTTATCTTCACCATGTAGAAGCAACCATATCGAAATAGGTTCTGTTATCATCTCCAATTTACAGATGAGGAAACAATCACAGAGAAGTCAAGCTATAACTACAAAGTGTCAAAATTAGGTCTGGGATTCTAGTCTCTGTTTCCAAGTCCTGATTCTTGCCATAATACCGGGCTGTTGAGACACAGTATAAAATGAGCTAAATAATCTTTGCTCAAGTTTGTGTGGAGAGCCTTGGTAATCTCAAACCATCTGGATTGTATAGGGACAGTTTTCTGCATGTACAAGTTCTGAGCTGAAGTTATATATTGTTTATGACCTCAACATACTGAGGCTGGTTCCTCAAAGGAGGGGTTTCCTATACCAGCATGTCTTAGGAGAACGGTTTACACATCCACACAATGAAATATTTGTTACCAGGGTTTTCATCTATAAATTTCCTGATTCATACAGTGTGACACAATGGAGAAGTAGCAAAATGGATGAGCAACCAGCTGGATGTTTTGCATGGATGCCTCATCTTCATGGTCAACCAACGTGGTTCTGAAAGGAACATTCTAGGCCAGTCTTTTTTTCTCCCCAGGTTGTAAGTGGTTTTTACAACCTACTACTTTCTTTGTGTTTGCCCTATGTTTCCTGGTGTCTAATGTTGACAATACTTTTTTATATTTTTTGCCTGCATCCTTCCCAGAACCTTTCCATTGACAATTCTCTTCTATCAGCTCTCTTGCCCAGGAGGACAGCCAGAGTCCCTTAGGTGATCTTGGCAGTGATGGTAGGGCAGAGTTCAGAACTTTGGCAAGGATCAGAGGTAGGAGAAATAAGGGACAGTTTAGGTAGGCCTTCTGAGATCAATAAGTGACAACTGGACAGGTGCCTTCCTGACTATAGAACTGTCTTTGCAGGTAAACTTAAGAACATGAGGGAGACATTTCCTGGGAATTCCCTTCTGGCCATTTAATGGCTACTAATCATTCAGTTTGGCTGAGAAACTTTCCCACTATGGTAGAACATGGTTTTCTACTACAATCACCTGTACCAGCTTATTTTTTGTTCCTCTTGAACCATTGGTTTCTTGTCATTCAGGCACAGACATAGGATCCTATAAATTCCCTTATTCCCTGCATGTATCTGAAGAGGATAGGGATAGAATGAGTTGTGTTAATTGAACAAAGCTCTTTCTCTCTACAGGAGAGAATGAACACATGCCGGTGAATAATCCTTCCACACAGATTTACCAGGTAAAGACAAATAGATTGCTTTGAATGCTCCCATGTGTAATAGTGGTGACTGTCTTTTATGTGTAGAGATTTTGAGTGCTCACAAGTGCTTCAGCCTGCATCATTGCATTTATTCTCTTAACAAGACAGTGACATAGGCAGGGCAGAGACTTCGGGGCATGTTGTACTTTTGACAGAACTGATTATTGAAGAACAAGTGTTCCAGTTTATAAAATGCAGCACTACTGCTTCCACCTCTATCTGCTTGTCTCTCCCACCCCGACCATCAATATGGCCATCATACTGTACAAGAGCATTTCCATCAGAGAGGAGGAGAGCAAGATCTGTTTTGCTTAATTTGCTATTTTAGCAGGGAAAATTGATCATTGAAAGGGTGTTAACATTACAAATATTCAAATATGGTCATAGACAAATGTTTTAAGCTCCTTTAAACAATGAGAATAATTTAACTTACAAGGAGATGGAATTTCTGCAAAACATTTTTGCAACAAGAGTCACATCAGGCTGCTTTGGCCCTAGTATTTATTTGTCTTCTATCTTCCAACTGTAAATTTCTGTTGTTTAAAATCACAGAAGTTTATTCTGACATAATTTGTAATACAAAAGCAGTTTGGGCTAGGGAAACCCATGCTTCTCTCTGGGTTTCAGGCAGTGTTTTCTGGAATACATAACAAGGAAGAATTGACAGGACTTGGTGGGGGTTGGGAGAAAGGGTGCTTTCAAAGTTGGCTCTAAGGTTTTGAGCCCTAGTGATTAGGAAAAAGAGTGATCTCCCAAGCAAAAATATAGGAGTCCAAATGAGCAGATAGTTTAGGGGAAATGTCATATAGATTTGTTGTGACAGTAAAGTGAAAATAACAGCTAGTTCCCAGAAATATCATGTGTGAGAGATCGCTGTGGGCCCAATTAGGGCAAGCCAACTCAGGATTATGAAAACGTTTTTAAATTATATTTCTCCTAGACTCAGACCAGCTATGGGAGGTGGTGGAGGAAACAGCTTCATTTCAATTTAATGCATATTTATTGAGCAGTTACTATGTGCAAAGTCTACTGCTTAACCTAATGGGAGATTAACAGAAGAAACAGACATTTTCATTGATTCTTAAATGTCCACAACCTGGAAAATAAATAGCTCATACAAGGTAGTCTTATGTGCAAAGTCTACTGCTTAACCTAATGGGAGATTAACAGAAGAAACAGACATTTTCATTATTCTTAAATGTCCACAACCTGGAAAATAAATAGCGCATACAAGGTAGTCCGTCGAAAGGATTACAACAGAGGCATTAATACAATTCTATGGGGGAGGAGTGAATTAGTGCTGACTGGAAGATTTCAGCTAGGCACTTAAGGACCACTGATCATTTGACAAGTAGATATAGGGAAGGTTATTTGAAGCAGAGGGACCAACTTGAACAAAGGCCTGGAAGCAGGAGCAGGTGTTCTGCCCAAGACCTCCAAATGTTTTTCCTGTTCACCTTCCCTCTGTTCACTTCTGACCTGCATATGGCATTTGAATGAGTGTGAGTACCTCTTTAAACTCAGGTATGATTTAAAGTCTATTATAGATTTTATGTAGGTCACTCCCTGAATATTGACTAAATATAGCTGCAGTGGGGTGGCCTCATTATCTTATTGTATCCTGAACCCAAGTACATCTGTTCACAATGGAACAAATGAAGCAGTGGAAGGGAAGTTGGTCTACATGACCTCTGTGATGCTATTATAACCCCATCCTTGTTTTCAAAGCACACTTCCTAAGCCCCAATCTGTTTACTCCAAGCAACATTTAACCAAAAGAAGAAGAAGAAGGAGAAGTAAAGAAAGAAGAGGAAAAGAAAGGAGGGAAGTGAGGAGGAGTTAACTATAATAAAATACATTCTATGCTAGAGGGGAGAGTATCTGAAGCAAAAGATGAAATTTCAGCAATTCTCTATCTCCTTATTTTATTTTTTTGATAGATCCCATCCCTACCTGACATTATCATATATACTAACTTTTTAAAAAAATTTTATTGTTTGTCTCCTCATTTAGAATGTAAGCTCTAAGGGCAGGAATTTTAGTTCATTTTACTCTCTATTGTATTCTCAGCGTGAAGTACAGAACCTGGCATATAATACATACACAATAAATATTAGCTGAATGAATGAATAAATGATATCTACAAGATGTATATATTGTAGTGTGATTTCAACCATATAAATATCTGCATTTATATGCATAGAACAAAAGAGACGGAAATATGAAAATTAAAGATTATGTGAAAGTAATGAGATTTGGGATGATTCTCTTTTTCTTCTTTATTTTTTTCTGTAATGAAAATAATTTAAGAAAATAAGTTATGTGCCAAAAATACTTCTAATTGAAAAACTATGGGAACCAGTCCTACAGTAATAGGTTTCATCATCAAAACTGCTATCGAAAGTTTTCTAAGATTCGTAAGTCCTGGTTGAGCCTCGGTCTCTTTTTGCCATTGAGGAATGTTCTTCTAACACCAGAGAAATGAACTCTGGGCCCACGGTGGATCCAGGGATCAGTAAGATAAATTTCCAGCACACCAGGCTTCGCATGAGCTTCCAGAGGGCCTTGTAAGAATGACTTTAAGGGCCAACTTCCACAGAGAATGTAGAGGAGTGGATTTGGGAAATTTACTCTTAAAATTCAAATTACTTGCTGCACATTTTGTGTTTTAAAATCATTGCATTTTTGGGGATCAAGAAAGAGGACTAAAACTGGAAGATGGAAGTTGGCAGAAAAACCAGGTTTCTTCTGCAGTGACTCTGGTTTAGGGGGAAACCAAAGCAATTACCTTGGCATCCTTGCTATCAGGTGCTACTTCATAACACCTGGGCTTTCACTCTTACAGAGTCAAGTGTTGTGGGAAGTTGGCATGCTTTGTAGAAGTTTCCCAACCTTAGCATTTACGGCTTTGCAGAGTTCTGAAGGGACAGGCCCAGTCCCCTGAATTTGCTGCATAGTAGTAGACCTTGGTAATGCGGAAGAAATGAAGGGAAAATCTGTGTGAAAAACAACTTAGATATAATGAAAATTTAGTTTGAGGCCTGAGGGATCTTTGGTGGAAAAAAAAAGTGGAAGACATTGGCTAAAATTCATCTTAAGAAGAGTTAAGAAGCCAAGAAAGGAAAGAAAATTGAGAAACAGAAATTAAAAGCAGGAAATAGGAAAAATTCGGACTCCTCTCCCCTATTTCTTTGAGCCTAAGATGCCCTCTGTGGTACCCTAGGCTTCGAAGTACAAGTCTTCCCTGAACCTACCTCCAGTGGGAGCCCGCCTCCAACGGCAGGATGGAGGGATCATTACCTCTCTAGAGCAGCTTCATGAAAAAATCAACGAGATGAGGAACGTGTTCAACTCGCTGGAGAACAAGGTAGACACCCGTTTCTAATCCTGGGGGTGGGCTGTGGGCTGTCAAACAAGGAAGCTGAAGAGAGAGCAGAGCAAAGATGTTAAGACCATGTCTTTCGAGTCTTTTTTTATTCACAAGGGAGTGGTCAAGTTGGTATTGGAAAACCAGTCTGTAGCAGCTAGAGATATTAAGAACCCTAAACATCTTAAAAGTGACATGTTGTCTCAGGTGTGTGATTGTGCTCACAATGGCTTCCCCGCCCTGGCTGGTCAGTGGTGGTGAAGCTGTTTATAAAGCAGTAGCATTACTTCAGTGGCAGGTACACAAGAGGCTCAAAGTAATATCGGGGGAGGAAGTGGGCTCATAGCTCAAAATAGTTTCAGAATTCCCAGAGTTCCTATATAAGCTGGCTGTTAGGGGGAAATCCCAATAGTTTTTAATTTTTTGATAACTGGGGTGTTCTACAGGTGAAGAAAAGTCTTTTTCCCTAGGACTCTGCTACTACCTTTTGGCTTTTAGGGAAAACTCCACACATCCACCTAAGGGAGCAGTGATAATGAAACCTATTTCTGTTGGAGAGTGGTTCCCTTTTTTTTCCAAGGAGGAAACCTAAGTGAATTGCAGGGAACTGGAATGAATGTCAGGTTTCCTTCCTTCAATTTTAAAACTTGCATAGATTTTGCTTTGACATTATACACCCATCCATCTTGTTCATTTTGTTCACAGAAGATGAATTTACATAATGAAAATGACCAGATAAGAAAGTAGTTGATTTAGTGATTTAATCCATCATGATGTCTGAGTTAGGACATGTGCCCAAATCCATCACAATGATTAATTATAACTAAAAATGGTTGGAATGAAAAACAGATTGAGCATGTTATTTTCTCATCTTGCAGCCCCAAACACTTGACAGGTCCTGGTTTTTTCCTCAAAATGATCTCTTTGTCTCTTCTTATTTCTCCCTACTCCCAACCCTAGAAAGAAATTCTTTGTGAAGCATAGTTAACCACAAAACCCTGTATTTTAAAAATATGATGGAGGAGATTAAGTCACTTTATAGTGGGAGGTACCACTGCAAGGTGGATAACCTAATTCTGAAAATGTTTAGAAATGTTTAGAAATACACATTTGAAGAAATTGTGTTAAGGTACCTGGACTTCAATTTTCATTCCTTTAAAGTAACAATACTTGGAGTGTATTTTTAATTATAGAATAAACCTTCTAGACAGTTCTGTGTTAAAGAGAGACATTGAGCTAAGAGTTCCTCTACTTAGCAGAATGTCAGATCATAAATGTCAAGAAAGTAATTGTTTATCCTATCATTATTATTATTATTATTGTTTTAACTTTCTGTCTGTTGAAATGCTTTTTTTATTTGTTCAATAAATAAAACTAAACTTTAGAAGTGCTCCATTTTCTCCACATTTCTGTTTGTGGCTAACTTTTTGATTTGCCATGTAAAGGGGGAGAAGAATTAAAATTTCTTGAACACCTATGTACCAAGCATGTGCTGTGATAGGAAACTTACCTATGTTTGCTTATTTAATTGTCAAGATAACCCTGTGAAATAGATATTATGATAGCTATTTTATGGATGAGGAAACTGCTACAAAATAGTTAGCCAACTTGCCTAAGATGTTAATATCTGCAGGGGAGAGCTAAGATTTGTATCGTACCTGATTCCAAAATTGACATCCTTTTCATGCTGTGGAAGTTGGCAATAGAAGTGTAATGCGTGCACCCCTGCATGACCAGGCTGGACTGCTGAAGACAAGTCATATCACCGTCAACAACATGCTAAGCTCCTACCGTTGTACATATCTCTGTGCCTTCCTTAGGGATTAAAGCCCACTTTCACTGAAAATGCCATTACCTCCTTTTCCATGATGTCATCCAAGAATGTATATAAATATAAACTTCTTCCCTTTCAAAGAAATTCTCAGTTATACTTAGTTATTACTCTTTTTATCTTAATTTTTAAAAACTTCTTAAGGAAAAAAGAACTGAATTTCTTTATCCTCTCATAACAACCAGGAAGAATATAACCCATCCCTTCTTTCACAGACTTCGAAGAGTTACTGGATCAAGATGATCTTTTACATACATGTGTTGCTTTTCAAGTAAATCTCATTTTAATCAAGTGTTTCTAAATAAACAATAGCTTGCAGGAGAATACTTGTAAACTTAATTGATTGCTTGCTTTCTTGTCACTAATCAAGCTTCATTATGTACTGTATAAAGCAGACACTCTTTTCCCTAGATGAATGAGGCCAAGGTTCTTTTAAGTTGTCCAAATATAAGTATACTAGTAAATGAGATCTGCGGGTGTTTAGGAGCCTGCTTTCTTAAACACAAGAAAAATTCAAGGGGCCAATGGTGCCATTTATAATAATTTTTAGCAAATTCAATTCACTTTTCATGTATTATTCAGTTGCAGGCACTAGCCTCCGAACTCAAAACTGGTTTCACAGAAGCAATGCAAGAGCTGTCCCGAATTCAACATGGAGAATATGCTTTGGAAGAGAAGGTTAAGAGCTGCAGGTGTTCCATGGAAGAAAAGGTTACTGAGATGAAAAATTCATTAAACTATTTCAAGGTAGGCTCCTTTTCTACTTCTCTGGTGGAAAGATATTCTTGGGATTAGCAACAGGAGAAGAAAACTTGCTTTTTTCCATAGCAGCCAAATATAAGAATTTTTCTTTTGAACCATTCACTAGTTATCATAGGAAAATATGTATTACACATTTTTTCTTTTTGACACTCTGTGTTAAAATTAAAGGCCACAATGGGAGTAAATTTTTTTATCTCTCATTCATTTATTCAAAGAATAAACAAATAAACAATATTAAATATTAATACATATGAATATATAAATTAATATATATTAAATGTTAAATATAAGTTTATGTTGTACTAGATATTGTGTTATATACTTTTTACCCCTTGCACCAGTTTAACACATAGCAAGTCTTATTTTTTAGGAAGAGCTGAGCAATGCCATGTCAATGATCCAGGCCATCACTTCCAAACAAGAAGAAATGCAACAGAAAATTGAACAGCTTCAGCAGGAGAAGCGAAGAGAATCTCGAAAGGTTAAGGCCAAGTGAGTGTCTTAAAAAATTTTACCAAAGGTAAACCTATAAGCAATGGCTTGGGCAGAGGCACCGAGAATACCCTCTCCATTACCAGTAATAGCTAGCTGGCCACTGTGCTCCATGGGCCAGCATGTGATGGAGGTTATAGAGACATAAAAGTTGGTTAATACAAAGAATGGATGGCACCTATTACATGGAAAAATGCATTTAATACACTATGATGTAAAATGAAAATGATATAAAATGGCTTGTATACTTTGATTACAACTGTAAAAACATGTAAAATAATAACCAGAATGATAATTTTTTTCTTTTTTCATTATTTTTTGTCATGTATTGAGTATACATATTTATCGGGTACAGTTATATTTTAATACACTTAGGCAATGTGTGGTGATCAAATCAGGATAATTAGCACAATTTCCTCTTCCCTTCCCAGCTTCTAGTAACCACAGTTCTACTCTCTACTACTATAAGCTCAGCTTTTTTTTCCTTTAGCTCCCTCATATGAGTGAGAACATGTAGTGTTTATCTTTCTGTGCCTGACTTATTTCCTGTAACATGATGCCTTCCAGGCTCATCCATGTTGCTGCAAATGACAGGATTTCATTCTTTGTTATGGCTGAGTAGTATTTCATTTTGTGTATCTATACCACGTTTTATCATTCATCTGTTAATGGACATCTAGGTTGATTCATATCTTGGCTATTGTGAACAGTACTGCAATAAATGTGCAGGTGCAGATATCTCTTCAGTGGCTAATTTTCTTTCCTTTGGATAAATATCTAGCAGTGGGATTGCTAGATCATACAGTAGTTATATTTTTAGTTTTTTGAGGAATCTCTATACTGTTTTCCATAATGGCTGTATTAATTTACATTCCCATCAACAGTGTATGAGTTCCCTTTTCTTCACATCCTTGCCAGCATTTGTTGTTTTTTGTCTTTTTGATAATAGCCAGTCTCACCAGAGTGAGGAAATACCTCATTGTGGTTTTGATTTGCATTTCCCTGATGATTAGTGATGTTGAGCATTTTTTCATATACCTGTTGTCCATTTGATGTCTTCTTTTGAGAAATGTCTATTCAGCTCATTTTTTAATTGGGTTATTTAGGGTTGGTTTTTTTTTTTGCTGTTGAGTTGTTTAAATTCCTTTTATATTCTAGATATTAATCCCTTGTCAAATGAATAGTCTGCAAATATTTTCTCCCACTCTGCTAGTTACCTTTTTGCTCTGTTGGTTATTCCCTTCAATGAGTGGAAGATTTTTAGTTTGGTGTAATGCCATTTGTCTATTTTTGCTTTTGTTGCTTGTGCTTTTAGAAGTCTTCTCCATAAAATTTTTGCCCCTATGTTTTCTTCTAGTAGTTTTATAGTTTCAGTTCTTACATTTAAGTCTTTAATCCATTTTGAGTCAATTTTGGTATGTGGTGAGAAATAGGGGTCTAGTTTCTTTCTTCTGCTTATGGATATTCAGTTTTCCCAGCACCATTTACTGAAGAAGCAGTCCTAGCCCCATTTTACATTCTTGGTGCCTTTGTCAAAAATCAATTGGCTGTAAATATGTGCATTTATTTCTGGGTTCTCTATTCTGTTCTGTTGGCCCATGTGTCTGTTTTTATGCCAGTACCATGCTGTTTTGATTACTATAGCTTTATAGGGTATCTTGAAGTTGGGTAGTGTCATGCCTACAGCTTTGTTCTTTTTGCTCAGGATTGCTTTGGCTAGTCAGGGTCTTTTGTAGTTCTGTATGAATTTTAGGATTTTTTTTT